AAAACACCTGCAAGCAAGTGGAGGGGCTAAGGTTTTGATCTTTAGGCCTACTGCACAAGTCCCGCTCCCGGGCACACTGAGATGACAATGACAATGGGTGTGGTGACACGCACCTGTAATCCCAACTATTGGGAAGCTGTAAACAGGCAGATTCACTATGAGTCCAATCTAGTAGTGAGACCTTGAACACCCTGTAGACCCTTCTCTAAAATACAGAAAGAAAGAAAGAAAGAAAGAAAGAAAGAAAGAAAGAAAGAAAGAAAGAAAGAAAGAAAGAAAGAAAAGAAAGAAAGAAAGAAAGAAAAGAGGATAAAAACTATGGTACACGTTATACCTAGACAAGTTATGAGCACTTATAAAAAGTTTTTTAAAAAAAGATCCTAATTCTTTCTATAGAATTCAAGCTTGTTGGCCTACTTAAGTATTTTAATATAGTATATTAGAGGCCTAATATGACATCTTGCTATGAACAAGGTTTAAATGTATATAAAATTTTTCAAACCCTCACATTCTAGTAAGACAGAAAATTTGCTGGTTTGAGAAAGTGCAAAATATTATAAACATACCAAAGAAGGATTAGCATTCTAATTGTGGAAGGAAAAGGAAAGAATTATAAAGGCTTGCTGACAATCTCTGAAAGATAAGCACTTGAAACAACTGAACAAAAGGATATTCAAAAGTACTAATGCAGAGATAAAAAGATGGACAAATAAACTTCGCTTTTTTGAAAGCCCAAAGGCTGGAAACGTCCCGCAGGCTGCATGGGCCTAACAGCCACGTGTGCCTTCTCTTTTCCCAAGTTCCACACTTCATGCAGCAAATATATCTATGACTTTTGTCTCACGATAGACAATTTTATACTCATTTTTATTTACAAAATTCAGCACACTTACATTTAGTTTAGGGGAAACCGTATAACCCTCAAGATAATAAGCAAGAAAAAGATGAGATGGGAGCTGAAGTACTATGAGAATAAATACTGAGTCTTTGATCTTGCTTATATTAATGGACTCTTAAGCATTGGATCAGATATCCAATCTAAAATTAAATCAAGAGTGATTTATTTTCTTTAAATATTTGAGAATAAGATGTCAAAACTATAAAGTAGGTACTAAACAAAAACGACTATTACTCTGTGAGAGGCCATTAACTGGTATACATTTTATAATAGTGTCAGCCATTTTCTTAAGTTTCTATTCCCCTGCTGAGTTAAGTTTATGGTCCTTCTCACCTTGCCCATTCCCTGTGAATCATGTGCTATGCCCCAGGGATGTCACCTTCTCCCATTGCCTAGATACCTGCTGACCCCCCCAAGAGCAGAGACTTCCTCATTCCTACACTCCCTATATATACCCAGCACCTCCCCTGAATAAACGGGACTTGATCAGAATCCTGTCTTGTCTTCATTCTTCGCGTCTCCTGTCCTTTGTCCCCTCTTCAATTCCCCGCACCTTCCCCAGGTGACCTTTGTTGACTGACCCTCTGGTTCGGGACATTACTCCTTACTGATACTTTCTACTGTTTTTGTTCCAACTGAGGGATAAATCAAGCTACCTTCCCTATCCCTTTTCTTTTTCCCTGTTTCATCTTCTCTTACTATCCCTTTCCTTCCATCATTTACAAAAAAGTGACAAAACATGTGTCTGTCAGAAAAACTTAATATGATTATGATACCACTCATACCAAGATGCTACATTACAGTGATGGTGTCCTCAGAGAGGTATAAGGGACACAAATCAGGAACCCTGCAATGGGGATGATTACTACAGCTTGCAGCAGGACAGCAAGAGTGCTATCCTGCCATGAGCCCTAGTAACACACCCGGCAAAACTCTCTTTCAAGTTTGATGGAGAAGTGAAATACTTCCATGACAAAGAACAACTAAAGAATTTCATGGCAACAAAGCCAATTCTTCACAGACTACTAAAATGTATTCTAGAGATGGATCAAAATGACCACAACTCCATTAATGAGAATGGAAAGAGCCCACCAAATAGGACAAACAAACACAGGAGAAAAAGAGGTATACAACAGCAAGTAAATAACATGTCAAATCTACATCAGTACATCTTAATTATAACCATCAATGTAAATGGACTCAATTCACCAATTAAAGGAAATAGACGGGAAGAGTGGATTAGGAAGCAAAATCCAACTATATGGTGCATAAGACATCATCTATCAATTGATTGGTTTATCTCCATAGTTTTGTTCAGCTGGTAATTTTGATAGTTCTATGATTTGTACCTCACAAATTTGAACACAGTAGTTTCCCTGATTCATAAATAATGCTTTGTCCTGACTTTACAGCTGACTGACTATATGGAATTATGTTTTTTTGTTGTTGTTCCAGTACTGAGGATTGAATTTAGGATCTTGCGCTTGCCAGGTAAGTGCTTATTCTACAGAGCTATCTCCCTAGCTGGCTTATTGACTTAGAAATAAATATTCTTGACAAGTACAAGGGCCTGAGTTCAATCCCTGGTTCCACCAAAATAAATAAATAAAGTAAATATCAATAAATAAATTTTCTGCAAGATTAGAATTCAGTATAGATGCTTCCAAAGTCCTTATTAAATTGAATGTGGGGAAATTTGAGAAATCATATACTAAAATAAGAGAAGGTGTTCTATACTATACATCTTAGTTTTGGAATATGTCTATAAAACAAACGTGTTACATTGTTCTTAAAAATAAAACAAATTTGCAAAGTCAAAAGAATGCCATTTTTCTCTCAGTCTTGGAGATAAGACGGTAATGCTTTAGGGCTTTTATTGGGAGGAACAGAAGGATAGACTGCATCTTTTGTTGTCGACTCTTCTTCAGTACTGACACTCTTAATGTCTATACCTACCCCTGCCTGTGTGCCATTGATTCTGTGGCTGTAGTTTTTACAGGTTATTCTTGGCCTTTCCTACACACCTCTGGTCATAGAGCCATTGAGCATTTATTTCATAACTGCAAGGTTAGCCGAGAGCAAGGATACAAAAGCAAATATAGCCATTTATAAACTTCAGACAAAATACAAGTGGCCTCTTCCTTGGAGAGACAAATGATTTACAGGAAAAGATCAGGAATGAAGATAAAAAGCATAATTCTAATGTTAGTCACTGCTGTAACCAGCTGAAGCACGTTAAGCAAAAATCTTTAATTTTGTAGGTCTCTTTTTACACTGAAAATGTAGAGACAAAGGAATGTATCTTCTAGAGTTCATGGGTGGATTATGCTATAAGACAGTTATAAAAGCATTAAATATCATTTAATAAAATAACAGCCAAATAGAATCATGTTGTTCATGCTTTAACTATTATAGAGACAATGATTTATACTATTTATGCTTATGAATTTTAAAATAGAAAAACATAAGCAAACTTATTAAGAGAAGTATGCTGCCTAGGTAGCAGAACCACAATTATTACAGCTCCCAATCTCTAATGACCTGTTCTTGCAGACAGTCAAAGAAATGGTTACCATTTACTGAAATTTCACTGTGCTAATCAATTGATATGGTTTTATGTATATCATTCGGTCCTGCAAGGCAGTTATTCTATTCAAAAGGAGATAATGATGGCAGTTCTTACTTGATCGTATTTCCCCATCCTCAGCTAACACAGAGCTCTGGAGAAGCAGAATCAAAACTATCCGAAGAAAGGTAAGATGGTGAGCCATAGTTATTTGCAATCTAGTATGTTGGTTTCAGGATTCCTAAAGAAAAAAAAAAGAAAAGTTAAATATATTACACAAATGAAGATAAATGTTAGCAATTAATTAAAATAATGACTTTTTTAAAATTTATATGTGTCTAAAATAGCTAAATTTTAATATTTACCCTTCAAGGTCAGTGAGGACTCAAGACATAAGAAAGCCTGTACTGGAACATCCTGTAACTCAGTGGTGTCACAAATTTTCTGATCAAGGAGATTATGGGGGCCACAGAGGAAAGTGACTGATGATGTAGAGTGTGCCTAAGGAAAGCCACATGGAGAGAAAACATTCTCTCAGGCTTTCACAGAGAGCAAATTGGTCAAGCAATGGCTGTGACTCATCCACATGCCTGACACTGACAAAAGATCTACAAACTTCTGTACAGGGTTTCAGGGTAAATCCTGAGAAAATCTGATAGACCTTGTCAGATACAAAAATTACATTTTTTCATTTTTTGGTATATATGTTTTGCTTTATCTTGGTCTTAACCATCCACAGGAAAGTATAAAAACAAGGTATAAAAAGTAAAGTCATATTAGTATGCTGAGCTGTAAAAGGCAAAAGTCAACAACTTCTGACATTGCCAGCCCTACAGATATATCATTACTATTATAGACTACTGGACTATATTGGATTATTTTGCTGAATTCATGCACCTGCAATATATGAATGGCAATGGAATACCCATCTCTGACAAAAGTAAACAAAAAAGGGGAATATAAATGAAGGAGCATTTTGTAGACAAATATATACAAGCATAGATATATAACTACTTTCTCTTAGTTCAATGAGAAGAAAGTTTTGAACTAATACTGTTTAGACAAGATATCATGTGTGCATCTTGTAGTATGAATAACCACTGGGAAGACAACAATATGCAATGTATTAATTATTGTAACTGTCCTACTAACCTGCTTTGAAACTGTCTGATTGCAATTTCTTTCTCAAGAAAATTAATATAAAAACAAATAAATTTTAATATTTAATACAATAGTATAATGAGTAAGGGCTGTATAAAACCACAACACATCTTTTAATTCAGAATTGTCTTGGAAAAGCATATATTCTTTATAAATCTTTGAGCTTTGCTCAAAATACATTTTCTGAATTTTTCCTTCAGATGAATCTGTGGAAAAACATTCTTTTTTAAAAAAATAATTTTATTGAGAAATAAATGTCAATGACACAGTTTCACAACCAATTACTGGCACATTTTCAATAATTAAAACATTTTATATTGTTGTTTTAGTGGTTATTCATTGTACAAGATGCAGACATGATATCCTGCCTCAAACACTATTATAACAAACCTCTCTATTCATTGAATAAAGAGAATGGAGTTGTATATCTTAACTATTTTGAGTATACAGATACAAAAGGGTTTTCTATCCCACTTTTTTGGTTAGTTTTGTCAGAGAAGGGCATTCCATTATCATTTAAATATTGTAGGCAAAGCAGAATCTCAGAATACAGTCCAGTAGTCCATAATAGTAGTGGATTTTCTGTAAGACTGGCAATGTCTCAAGTTGTTGACTTGAGCTTTTTACAGTTCAACATATTAATGTGGCTTTACTTTTCTATACTTCATCTTCATACTTTTCTCCTGGATGGCTAAGATCAAGATAAAGCAAGACCTATATAACAAGAAATGCAACTTTTGTATCAGTTAAGGTCAGTCATCTCCCATCAGGATTTAACCTGAAGCCCTATACCAGAGTTTGTAGATCTTTTGTGTCAGCCATGTGGATGAGTCATGGCCATTGCTTGACCAATTTGCTCTCTGTGAAAGCCTGAGAGAACGTTTTCTCTCCATGTGACTCTCCTTAGGCACATGCTACATTGTCAATCACATTCTTCCGTTACTGCATAATCTCCTTGATCAGAAAATTTGGGACACAACTGAGTTATATAATGTTACAGTATAGGTTCTCCTATGTCCTGAGTCCTCACTAAGCTTGAGAGGCTAGGGCCAAAATGTTGGCTGTCCTTGCAGTCCTTCTTTTTCTCTGACTTTTGTTCTGCAAACTTAGGTTGTTAACACTCCAGAAGAGAAGCTTATTATTACCCTACAACATATGCAGTTGGGTTTAACCTAACTATCTGTCTGAATATCAAACACTTTAGGCATAACATGGAACAGGTATTTTCCATCAGGTATTGATATGTTAAACTTTAAGTCTCTGCAGAATATCAACACAAAAATTAAAAAATTGAAAAATATGAATAAACAATACAAAATTTTACACAGAAATTAAGGAATCTAACCATATACAGCATTGTAGCAGGACTGTTCTGTGACTTTTTTTTTTTTTTTGATTTGAGCTTTTTACAGCTCAGCAATTAATGTGGCTTTATATTTTGTACTTCATTTTCATACTTATGAGAAACTGTCTTGTTTCTTGTTTTCATTTATTGCACTTTTTTAAAATAAACTTTTACTTGAGAGACAGTATGACACTAATTTGTATGTTATGACAAGCAGTATATATTTAGAAGAGCAGAATGGCAGGCATTCCAAGCATGATCCTACAATTCATTACACATTACTCTCTTCAGTGCAGCTGCTTCGTTCAGTTATCAGCATACATAGTTAGGCAGGGTGAGAATCCTACCAGTTAACTTCTAGTTTCAAAACCATGCTACAGATTCTCAGGATCCTAGCCTTACCCATCTTGTGCATATAAATTTATGGCTTTGCCACGTCATGTTTCCCAGATTTTCTCCTTGCCATCTCCTCATTGTCCAATCCTCAAGTTATTGCTTTGCATTTAATTGTGTTATACATTTCTATTTTTATTTCTACTTTTGAGTTCTTATACTAGGAAAACTATATGATATTTACACATGTGGGTCTGGTTTATTTCACTTATGAGTATATCTTCAAGTGGCATTCACTTCAATATAAAAGCTTCGAGTTTATCATGCTTTACAGCTGAGTAATACTCGATTGTATAAAAAATACCATTCCTCAGGTGATGGACATCTTGGTTGTTTCCAAGATTTGGCTATCACAAATTGTGCTGCAATAAACATAGGTAAACATATATCACTATGATATGACCTTCTCAATTCCTCTGGGAAAATTCCCAGTAGGGGGATAGCTGCCTTGAATGGGATTTCCAGTTCTAGTTTTTCTAGAGGTCTCCACATTGATTTCCATAATGGTTGCACCAGTCTACAAACCAACAACAGTGTAGAAGGGTTCCACTTTCCCCACAAACTCTCCAACATTTGTTGTTGGTCGATTTGTTTGTGATAGCCATTCTTTTTGGGGTGAGATGGTATCTCAGTTTTGTTTTAATTTGTCTTTGATGGCTAGTGATGTTGAGTATTTTTTTCATATATTTATTTGCTTCTTTAATTTTGTCCTCTGAGAAGTGTGTGTTCATCTCAGATGCCCATTTCTGGACTGGGTCTTTAAATTTTGGGGCCCTAATGTTTTTTAGTTCTTTATAATTTCTAGAGAGCAGACCTTTGTCTGAGTGCTTGTAAGTTAAGATTTTTTCAAAACTTGTGGACTGGCTTTACACTTTGTTGGTAATTTCTTTAGACATGCAAAATCTTCTCAATAAGAAGAGGTCCCAGTCACTAATTATTTCAAGTATTACCCATGCAATTTGATTTTTGTTCATGAACTCTTTGCCTACCACTATGTCTTCAAGAGTTCCTCCTATTCTCTCTTCCAAGAGATTTAGTGTTTCTACTTTAATGTTTAGATCTTTAATCCACTTTGACGTTAGCTTAGTGCCTAGTGATAGACCTGGGTCAAGTTTAAGTTTGTGGCATGCACAGAGCCATTTTTTCCAGCACTATTTGTTAAAGAGGTTATCTTTCTTCAAGTAAGCATGTATGGCCCCTTTGTCAAAGGTCAGGTAACTGAGTGTATTCGTAGGGGACTCACCATCTTCTAATTTATTCCATTGAGCCTCAGGACTATTTTGTTGCCAAACCATGCTGATTTTGTCACAGTAGCTTTGCAGTATAATTTCTTTTTTCTGTTCAATATTTTTACATAATTTTATTGAGAGACAAATAGCAATGAGACAGTTTCAAATCAAATTGGTAGGACAGTTTCAATAACTAACACATTGCATACATTCTTCCTAGTGCTTAATTGCTGTACAAGATGCGGACATGATATCCTATTTACAAACACTATTAGAACAAAGCCCACTATTCATTAAGAGAATGTAATTATATATCTATCCTAACCATTTTGAATACACAGATACAAAATGGACATTTTTCTGTATCTGCTTTTTGGTTTAGTATCATTATTTGAATATTACAGGTATGTTAACTCAGCAAAGCATTCTAAAAGAGTCCAGTAGTCCCTAATAGTATTGGGTCTTCCTCTTGACTGGCAGTGTCAGAAATTGTTGACCTGAGTCCACTACAGCTCAAAATAACACCATGGCTTTACTTCTTATACTTCGTTTTTATAGTTTTCTGATGGATGGTTAAGACCAAGATAAAGCAAGACATAGGCAAAAAGAATTGTAGCTTTTGGATCTGATAAGGCCAGTCAAATCCCCTCAGGATTTTTCCTGAGATCCTGTACCTCAGATTGTAGATCCTTTGTCAGTGTAAGCCATGTGGATGAGTCATGGCCATTGCTTGGCCAATGTGCTCTCTGAGAAAGCCTGAAAGAATGTTTTCTCTCCATGTGACTCTCCTTAGGCACACTCTACATCATCGATCACTTTCCTCTTTGGCCCCATAATCTCCTTGATCAGAAAATTTGGGACACTATTGAGTTACGTGACGTTACAGTATAAGTTTTCATATGTCCTGAGTCTTAATAGACCTTGGAAGGCTAGGACCAAACTGTTGGCTTTCCTTGCAGCCCTCCTTTTTCTCTAATTTTGGTTTGCAAACTTAGCTTGTTAAGCCTCCAGAAGAGAAGCTTATCATTATTACCAAACAACCTAGGCCATTAAGTTAACCTCACTATATGTCTGAATATCAAACATCTTAGGCATAATATGGAATAGGTATTT